TTAGAAGCGCTTTTTAAAGCACCCTTTTTTCTCCGCGGTCGTTGTTGTCGCGCTACTGATGACGTCAGCGACGCGCTTTAATCGGGCGCGCTTTAGTGGACCACGGTTTTGTCGTGCCACGGAGAGAATCACTTCCACAGGTCTATGACTGAGAGTTGAGGTTTCAGCTGAAATAAAAATGTTTGGCCTGCCAAGTTGGGACTTTGCACAGAATTACTTTCCTTTGTTATTTTTCCTTAAGAGGTCATCTAAAATTGCCTTCCTTTCAGGGCAATATCTTTGTGGCAAAAAGTGACAGAAATCATAAATTATGACATGACTATATTTCATTGCAAGTATTAATAAAGCAACATATGCAATTTTAATAACAGCTAATAAAATAATTTTGTCAGGTGGTATTGCATTAAGGATTTTCTTAGATTTCTAATTCATGCAGAAAACTGTTAAGTCCTGATATCTCTGCACATTTCAGTATTTCAACATAATGCTGTGGAATTGGAGCCAAAGATATTGTAATCGGGACTGCCTAAATGCCTGGCTGTTGATGTCATAGTGTGTGATCACTCATTTCCTGATGTGCTCATCATCCGATTCCTTGTGCCTTCCAGCTTACCCCAATTCTCCTTTCATAGCCTTATTAACTCTTGCTCAAATGAGATCAAGTAATTTTACATACAGAAAGGAATCCACACCCCCTAGTAAGGACCACTTATTTTACTGAAATAGAACTAATGGAAAATCTACAGCCAATAATGAGCACTGAGAAACAGAATAAAAACTAGAATGTCACCAACATCTGTATAATTCTACCAAGAAACATCTTAATAACTATACACCAGAAATGTATTGGATTGATCAGAAAAAGAAAAGCATACAAGGGCTTTTTTTTCTGAATTGAGTCAGGTTTTTTTAAATGTATGGTGTATCAAGAAAAGAAAGATTTGTTTTTATGAAAAATTTATTTTTTCAGCTGGATAGAAATACAAGTGGGGTTCAGCATCTGAACAAAATTTAACTCTCCCTTACCTTCTGGCTTCTGATGTCAAATAATTTATGATAATTCAGAGATTCACCATATGCTAGCAACAGTACCATTACTGTTGAAATGAGTGAGGTTCCCCTAAAATATGTTTGCTGCTAATTTTTTTACAGTTAATCAAGTTTACTGGAAATCTCTTTCCAGTATAACTTTTATCTTTTTAGTACATGCATCTTCCTCTCTCTCTGGATATCTGTGTTGGTTAGATAGATCCTATGCTGTACCATTTTCTTCCTTCGCATAATGCTAATTCACCTTTATTCCAGACAGAAGTGAATTTCAGAAAACCAATGGAAAATCCATAACATTTACTCAATCCTATCAAATTCAGATATAATTTGCTGATATTTTTTGGTGCTTTTCAGTCACCTTGGAACATATACCGTATTTTTCGGACTATAAAATGCACCTAGCTTTTGGGGAGAAAAACAAGAAAAAAAAATCTGCTTCCCAGCAATTTGTTTCCTTGCAGTAAACAGCTGTTTCAGGCTGTGGGATTGCCACCACCCATCGCCACCATTGCAGCCCGTCACTGCTGCCACTTATCACTGCCTCCGTATGCCCCATTTTTGGCCTCTGAGCGCCCCATTTTCGGCCTTTTCCGGGTGGTGGGGATAGGCAGTAGCACTGCCTGGAATGGCCGAAAATGAGACACGCGGAGGTCAAAAATGGTGCATGCAGAGGCAGCAATAGGTGGCAGTGGCGATTCCCACAGCCTGGAACAGCTCATAGGCCTGTAGTGGCGAACCTATGGCATTTGTGCAACAGGTGATATGGAGCACCCTCTCTGTGGGCATGCGAGCCATCGCCCTAGTTCAGATCCACCATGCATGCGTGCACACCTCCCACTGGACAGCTGGTTGTCGTGTCTCTGCCGTGCATGTGCAGGGGGCATGCATGTACGCACAGGGAGATGGGGTAAATGCTGGGGCCTTATGTGATGTGGGTGGGACACATGTGCAGGACCGCACATGCATTGTATTTTGGGGGTTCGGACACACATGCACACATGTACGCTTTGGGCACTCAGTTTGGAAAAGGTTGGCCATCACTGTGATAAGCGGTATTCCGGGAGGCAGATCCAACCACCAATCATCTGCTCGTGCTAAATCAGGCTATGCTGAAGCTGACCAGGCTGTTTGCTGCAAGGAGGCAAATTGCTGGGAAGCAGAGGTTAAATGGTGAGGGCCGGCGGGTGGACGGGGCTTCGGCAACATTCGCTGTATAAGACACACAGACAGTTCCATCCACTTTGGGGGAGGGAGTGCACCGTATAAACTGAAAAATATGGTAACTGTTCAGCAGCCCAAGACTGCCTATTTCTTTGTGTCCTAGCCATATGATTCCAAAACTGTGCTGTATGGTGACTTGGAGCACTGAAGAAAATTTACAGGGGTGCCACAGGATATTTTACAACTTAATAAATTATTTACAATATACAAATAATGTTTTTACATTGTAAACTGCCCAGAGAGTGCTATAAAGCACTATGTGGTGGTGTATAAGCCTAAAATATTATTGCCATGCTATTGCATGGGACAGTGACGGTGAGTTTGTTCTGGTACCATGGAATGTGGCACGATGGAATGACATGGCATGCAGTTTGAAAACTACTAGGGATGCTGGGAACCAACAAAGTTTGAGTCCCAATTGAATTGAGTACTTTTTGGGTTACCCATTTTTGTTTTCTCCCACCAAGTCCAATTCCAACGCTAGTGACTTCCTGCCCCCTACTTGCTCATGTCAACTTTCCTTCCCATGTACAAAAAAAAATATTTTTAATCCCCCAGCTCTTTCTCAGCCTCAGATTATATGACTAATGCAGTCTATGACTGAGAGCTCATGTGACAGGATGTCAGAGTGTATATACTTTATTCATTCCATCACACTAATCTTATATTAATAGTTTTCAACTTTTATTTAAAAAATTAATGGGCAAGGCCTTTTAGTAATTGCTGAATTGTTATGAGCATGCCTGGGAATTAAAGTTTAATAGCCCCTGAAGGCACCAGGTTCTCAATTGGATTTTAATGGCTACATCCTACACAAAGCAGAATTTATAGCCAGACATACTTTGAACATTTGATGCTCTGTGGAATACATAGACTTCCAATTAAGAAGGGTCATTTGTTCTGGAAAACTGCACATATTGAAACACGTGCTATACTAGAGTATTATCTGGAAGAATATTTGTAAATCATTTATCCTATAAAATTCAATTACTTAAAAATCAGAACTGTAACGTCTTGTCCCACAAAATAAATAAGCAAATAAGGGAAAAATGTTCTAGTGAGTTATTACAACAATTAAGTTACATGAAATTTAAATAGAAAGAATAAACATATATAGTAGAACCTCTGGTCATGAACGCTTTGGACCACGACCAAAAAATTCACATCCCCGCTCCCCCGCCAATTTTTCCTTCTGCACCATCTTTTGTGAGCACCAAATTTCCAAAATTAGGTTCATGTCATGACTAAATCAGGCTGCGACCAAAATTATGGCACGAATTATGGTCGTGACCAGAGGTTCTACTGTATGCCAATCATGTATTTGCTGTATATGATGGTGATGATATTCATAGACCACTACCTAAGTACATGTTTATTCACTGCATCAGATATTATTTAGAATATACAACAAATACCTTTGTTTACATTCTGGCCAAGAATCACCATATCTGCTGTGAGTTTCCGTAATACCACATGCAGAGTTGGATATTCAATGATAACTTTCCCTTTCAAATTGTCTAGAAGGCTTTTATTGGCATCCAATTCTTGATACCTTTTGAAAAGGATAATAAGCATTGTAAGTATCATACAGAGATTTGATTTTTCCAACATAAACAATATGACTTTTTTTCAGGAACAAATCTTCACTTGCTCTCATCAGATGTCAGCCTAAAAACAGGTTTGCTGATCAAACTCCAGCTTTCTAGGAGATGTGAAAATATGTTTAGTACTTTGGTGAGTCCCTTTCCAAGACATATTTTAATGCAGTGCTAATTCACCTTATATTCCATAAAGAGAGACGTTTATTTCAGGTCTTCAATGGAAATTCCCTAAAATTTATTCAAATATGAGGTAATAATAAATCTCTTACAACCCAGCATTCTGTTGCAATGTGCAATTCCATATTGTTGGCCTTTATAAACAGTCCATTTTTAGGATGTTCCAACATAAGTTTTTTTTTTCTTTTCCAGCTACAGGAATACCAAATTTGGGCTTTGCTTATGATGTTGAAATAACTTAGCTATGTAGCATTGTCTGAAAGAAAGGGGGAGGGAGAGTTACAACTATTTTACTTAACATTTCTTTAGAAAAGAGAATGCCTTTGAGTAAATATGTATCACATTTCAGATTTTCAGGCCATGAAGTCTTAATCAATGGATTTAAATTTTGAAACATCTCTCTCTCTCTCTCTCTCTCTCTCTCTCTCTATCTATCTATCTATCTCTATATATATATATATATATGTTAGGATTTTTCAAATAGCA